TTGAGATAGAACTCACCCATAAAAAGTGTACAATTCAGGTTTTGTTTTTGTTTTTTAAGTAAACTCTACATAGACCCAGCATGGAGCTCGAACTCATGACCTTGAGATCTAGAGTCACATGCTCTACCAACTGAGCCAGCCTGGTGCAATTGAGCATTCTTAAATATATTCACAGAGTTTTTCAGCCAGCACCATCAATTTAAAACATTCTCATTACCTTAGAATGCAGCCTTGTACCTTTACACCACCCTCTGTATCCCCCAAACCAGGGCAACTCCTAATCTACCTTCTGTGTCCACGGTGTTGCATCTTCTGAACATGTCATGTAAATGGAGTCATACAATATATGGTCTTTGTGCCTGGCTGCTTTCTGTTAACATAAGGTTTTCAGGATTTATCCATGTTGTAGCATGTATCAGAATCTGACTTCTTATTAAAAAAAACAGTGAGTGTTCCATTGTATGGATATATCACATATATTCATATTGTTATGATTTGTAAGTATTTTCTCCCATTCTGTTGGCTGTTTTTATATGTCCTTTACAGTTTCCTTTGAAGCAAAAGGTTCTAATTTTTCTGAGTTCTACTTTTTTGTTTCTTGTGCTTTTGATGTCATTTAAGAAACTTGCCAAATCCAAGATCAGGAAGATTTAGTCTTAAATATTTTCTTCTGAGAATTTTATAGTTTTAGCTCTGACATTTAGGCCTTGGATCCATTTTGAGCTGGTTTCTGTGTGTGGTGTGAGGTAGGGGTCTGATTTCATCCTTTTTTGTTAGGGTATCTTGTCCCAGCACTATTTGTTGAAAAGAGGATTCTTTCCCATTGACTTAATGTTGGCATTCTTGTCAAAAATCAGTTAACCATACATTTGAGGATCCCCTATGGTTTTAGCATGTATTTTCCTCATGACTAGTACCAATTGATTGTAAGAACACATGCTTAGTGACTATTTGGTTTAAATCAAAAATGGTTGCCCGTTTTTAAAAACTGGGTTTCTGTCTTCTTAATAATGAGTTGCAGGCAATTTTTGTACATTGTTCATAACAATTTTTTTTTGTCAGATACACATACTGTAAATACATGATCTCGTCTGACTTATTCTTTATTTTTTTGCACGTGTCTTTCAGAGCACATCAGCATTTTACTTTGTTGAAGTGTGTTTTTTTATTTTCTTTTATGCTTTGTGTTTTTGATATTCCCTCTGAATGTCTTTGCTTACTTCAAAATCATGAATTTTTTTCTCCCATTTTCTTCTAGGAGCTTGTAGTTTTGGCCTTTATATTTCTGTGATCTACAGTGTGCACGTGTGTATGTGTGGTGTAAGATAAGGAGGTCAAAAGTGTTTCACAACAGTGTTTCTTGCTATAGTGATGACATTTACTCCTTCAGAAGGTATCTTTTGAGTACTCAGTCTATGCCAGGCATGGGGGTATGTTGTCACTAGACAGGCATAGTCGCTCTCTCCATGAAAGAAACAGGTTTTGTAAGCGCAAGGTGTGGTGCGTCCTCGGAAGGCTCCTCGAGGGGCTTCGCAGCAGAGCCCTTTTGCAGTTGGTCACCCTACTTAGCGGCTGGAGTTGGTGGACCTTTGAGCCGAGGCGGAGAAGGCGCAGAGGAGCTAGATGCTTGGAGACTTGGGGGACCAGCTTTCTGAGGAACAGAAGGTCGCGGCCTGAGGTGGAATAATGCCGGTGTGTTTGAGGGTCTCAGAGCGTCAGTGGTTGGGATCTATGAGGAGAGGGAGCTCAGGACAGGGATGTGATCCTGCAGGACCGCAGAAAGGGGTTCGAATTTTACGCAGTCTCAGTCTTTACTCATTATGCCCTGTAAGTGTCACACGTCCGTCCTGGGGAAGTTCTCGCGGGTGAAGCACAGCACCTGAGTTTAAAACGGTGCGGAGCTGACCATGTCGTCATCTCTTCACTACTTCCTCGCTTCATTTCTGTCTTGCTTGAGGTGCCATTTTTTCCCGTTGTGCCAGCCGGATCCGTTTGAATCAGAACGCCTAGTTTCCTGTTCCCATCCTGTTATGGAGAGGGAGCCCCTCACACACAGGAAAGAGAAAAGCCAGCTATTATTGCAAGGCTTGTGGTGACACACTGGTCCCTTTTTACCCCTCCCCCAGTTCCTGTGCCCCGGGGTAGCGCCCCTCCGCGTGTGCGTCTTGCCACAGCTCTGCCGGGCCTCCAAGTTCCCAGCTACTGTGTCTCCACTGCTGCTGTGACGTCTGGCTTTTAACACTGTCTAGACTTTCTAGTGTGGAAGTGCAAATACAGCTTTCCCCGTGGCCACCTTCTGGGGGACCCCACTCCACGTACACGCACCCACCCTTTGCACGCACGCATGTGCGCACACACACACACTGCTTCTCCTCTCCTGATTCCGTAAAGTCAGCAGTTGATGAATTAGCAGTTTTACTTTATATAATTACAGCTGTGAAAGGTGTTTTTAGCTGAATCTGAAAGTGTACACAAACACATTTCCTTTTGTGTGAAACTTGGTCCTTAACCTGAGCTCAGCCTGGTGTCCTTGAGTCCAGTGCGTCTCTGGTCCAGGTCATCTGAAAACTGAACCTGTCACCTGCTTTGGTGGCCCTGACTGTGGGCATGTCAGACCTGCCCCCGCCTCCGAGTCCTTGAGGTATGAGGAGAGGAGTCCAGTCCCTTGTGGTTTCACAAGCTTCCTCGTTCAGCTTCTACACTCGGCTTTCCTTCTCTGTATTGGCTTTTCAGTTGCCCAGATGTCTCTCATCTACTCTTTGTTTCCGTTGGTCTGTGTCGTTTTGTTTTCCTTTACCCTTGTTTGACGGAGGTTTTGGGAGCAGGAGAGAAAAATGTATGTGCTCAGTCCATCAGTTTTAACAAGAGCTCAAGAACATCCCATTTTTATTCCTAAATATTGCCCATTCAGATCTGCACCCGGTCCCGCATCTTTGGTGAAACCAGTAGTGTCTCCTACCCCCATGGTCCCTGACTGGTCTCCTTACCCTCAAAGTCCCCGTCCTGGAACTCACCCTGCAGAGTGGCCTGTCAGAGTCCCCCACCTCTCTAGCACCCTGGGGCCACAGGACGAGGGCCGTCCGAGCTCAGGAGCTTAGCAAATGAGGCCATTGGGGTGACCTGTGTGAACTCCTTGTCACTGGCATCGTCACTGCAGTCACACCCAGTGGTGTGTGTTTTCCCAGAATTTTCACACTGCTGTTCACTTTGTCACACTTCTTCTGCCTGTGCTGTCCTTCCCGACGGAAGATCTGTGTCCTCCCCAATGCACTTCCTCATCAGAATTACCCGCCCGTCTGAGGGTCGCCTCCCACCTAAAGCTTCTGACTGCTGTGTATCACAGCATCATAGGTGCTCCCTCTGGCTTCTGCTCTGTTGTTGTGCTCAGAGTACTGTTTTTGTGCTGCATTCTGTGTTGTGCACTTTTTGCAAACTTCTTTCGTGCCTGGCTTAATAAAAAGACAGTTGCATTCCAAATCTGCCTCTGCGTTTACTGTATCGGGATCACAGGTGTCATTTGGCTTTAACGCCGTCGTGTGCTAGTGAGAAGTGAAAAAGGCAAATGAGGTCTTGTGCTAAAAGTAGTTTTGACCTCACATGCCCTCAGAAGTGTCTTGGGGACCCTAGAGGTCTTCTGACCACCCTTTGAGATTCCTTAAGTCTAGTGATAAATACTCTTGTCAGTGTGGTGCGTAATCTTCCAGACTGCTTTCGATGAGAAGTACTTTACCATATTATATACAGTATACAGTCCCATATGTCCCTGCTGAAGTTGTGTTTTTGTTCTTAATCTATTTTAGAGAGCTTTCTATATGAATATGGATATATTTGCCCTATTCTTTTTTTTTTTGCATTGTATTTTAATTATACTTTCATCTGTCATTTGCATACAGATGTTGAACAGTGACAATGTAATGAAATATGGTCAGAGTTGGGTTTAGGGGCCGTACTTTTAAAAAGACTGAAACAACAGGTGAAATTATTCTGTTAACATAGGAGTGATCAAAGGCTTTTGGTTGGGTTGTGGGGAGATGAACAAAATGTTATATGCTTCATCTTTCAGTATTAATAATATAAATGAATGGGAAGAGTAGAAAGTATATGTAAGGAGATCATTTAGAAAATTATTGTAATTATTTAGATTTGAGCACCTGAATGCTTAGAAGTAGGTAATGGTCTGAGGATTCCCAAGACAGGGAGGGAGGTGAAGGGCTGCAGACCGAGAACAACGGAATCGCAGGTTGTGGGGGCAGACAGGTCTGGGGGGTGGGGCACAGCCCGGAGTAGCTGTCATCGGCCCACCCTGCTCTCCGGGTGAAACACACAAGACAGAGAACCCAGTTTTGGGGCCAAGATAAACTTGCCAGCCTCGTTTCTTTAGGAACCTTCTATCTCTACATTACTCATTTTTTGTCCGGTTTACTCTCATGTTATTCCTTTAGTAACATGTGCTTAAATTGTGTGTGTGCCGTGCACTGATCATTTTGAAGGATGTTACTAAAGTTATCGCGGAAAAATTGTGCTTCCTTTACCTGCTGCCTGCTTCTACTCTTACACTCTAAACACTGTGTAGAGAATACTTTGACAAGTTGAATTTATATTGCCCTTTGTATTTGTTTATAAATGTACTTAATTTATTTTTTAATGTTTATTTTTTAGAGAGAGAGAGAGAGAGAGAGAGAGAGATCAATCATGAGTGGGAAAGGGGCAGAGAGAGAGGGAGACACAGAATCTGAAGCAGGCTCCAGGCTCCGAGCTGTCAGCACAAGCCCAACGCGGGGCTTGAACTCACAAGCTGTGAGATCATGACCAGAGCTGAAGTCAGACGCCTAACTAACTGAGCCACCCAGGCGCCCCTAGATGTACTTACTTTAAAAGCCACGTCTATTAAAATGGCCTGTGCATTTCTTAAATTGGTAACTGACATATGTGCAGATTTAATGCTATGTGAATTTAACAGAAACAAATGCTCATTATGCTGTATCAATTTAATTATACAGATGCAGGACAGCTGGAGTACATATTGATGAATCACTCTTCCCTGCAGCTAACACCAGGGAACACTTACCAAGCCTAATTAAAAAAAAAGTAAGTATGTGATTTCAATATGGACAGTGGCAACTATGAATTTATTCGTTCTTCTATTCCTAGAAAATGAAACTTTTTAGAATGTATTCAAGAGTTGTCTTAAGTATTGCTGCTGCTGGTATTGTTCTTTTCATGTAGCCTTTTTAAGAAAGTTACAGAAATCATTTATCCTTTAAATTTGTGAGAAGTGGAAGGAGATGTGTTTGCCCAACAGAAAGCTAAAAGTTGCAAGAGACCAGCAAACATCCAGGTGCTCTGGGAACTACTTCAGAATTCAGTTTGTTATGTCGGCAGCAAAATACCTTTGTTCTGCTGTTTAGCTGGAAAATCTCAAAAGTCTGAAGCAGAAATATCCCAAGTTATTTAGTAAGTTGTTTATTGAAAATCTCTGCAGACATAAAGACACTTTGAGGTCTAATCCATATTTGAACTGCAGCATTTTCACTCTTTTATTATTTGAAAACTTTGTGATTTCTTTATTTGAGGGTAAGCTGGTTTACTATGAAACTTAAGAGTCCCTTTGCGCATGAGAATGCCCGTTGGAGAAGAGATTTGCAGACTTTCTCCAAAGTGAATTAGACAGACTAGAACCATACATTTCCTGTAGATTAGAGAAGACGTTCCCGTGGGTGCCTCAGATTTTCTGTAAATACTAAATCCTCTATCTCCATTCCATTTATGTCAGGCCAGCCAGGATTTGTAGTGCACTGACGGGGTGCACTTAACTTCAGTCTCTGTCCGCCCAGATCTCATTCAGGTATAGGTGAAATAGAGTGTGCAAGGCTCTTGACTCTCTGTGATACACTTAGCAATAGCTGTGTCTGCTGTGGTTTTTTGGTTTAATTTTTTTTAAATGTTTTTATTTATTTTTGAAGGGGGGGGGGAAACGGGCAGAGAGAAAGAGAGAGAGAGACAGAGTCCAAAGCAGGCTCCAGGCTCCAGGCTCCAAGCTGTTAGCACAGAGCCTGACACAGGGCTCAAACTCACAAACCCTGAGATCATGACCTGAGCTGAAGTCGGGCACTTAACCTACTTAGCCACCGAGATGCCCCTCTGTGTTTGCTGTTTTAAAAATAAAGTACATGTTTTTATTTTTTTATTTTTAAAAATTTTTTTTTTTCAACGTTTATTTATTTTTGGGACAGAGAGAGACAGAGTATGAATGGGGGAGGGGCAGAGAGAGAGGGAGACACAGAATCGGAAACAGGCTCCAGGCTCTGAGCCATCAGCCCAGAGCCCGACGCGGGGCTCGAACTCACGGACCGGGAGATCGTGACCTGGCTGAAGTCGGACGCTTAACCGACTGCGCCACCCAGGCGCCCCAAAAATAAAGTACATGTTTTTAAAACACATTAATCATACGAGTGTATTTTCATTGTAAAACACTGAACGTACACAGATGAAGCCAGTACGCACACGCACACGTGTGCATGCGCGCGCGTGTTTTGTACGCTTGAGGTTCTCCAATGTTACACATATTGTTTGGGAGATTGCTGTTTTCTTCTTCACTTAACAGTGTGTTTTTGACTATTTCATGACAGCACATGTAGGCCGTCTTCACTTGTCCCTATTGTACTCTATGGCATAAATGTGCCTTTGTTGGATTCACGCACCCTTAAATCATTGTGGGTTTTCAGTCAGCACATTGTGTATGTGACATGTTTGAGTTAATTGCTCCAGGTGTAGAATCTAGAGATGAAATTACTGGGTTGAAATGTGCACGCTCTCTGATGCGAACAGTCACCCCTGTTTACACAGTGACCACACCTGGATATTACTAATCTTTGTCATTTTTCCTAATATGAGTCCTAAGTCACGACAGCTTATACGCTTTGTTTGCTTGTGCCTGAAAACATTCCCTTTCCCTCTTCTAAGTGCAATTGCAGAGTGAACGTGACTGCAGACCGTAGTCTCTTGGGCTTTTGGAGGAGGGTCTCGGCTTGCCCCTCCCTCACTCTTTCTGCTGCCAGCCTGACCCTCTTCCCTGCTGTTGCGCACATATCCCAAGCATGTTTGTGATTTAGAGCCGTTACGTTTTCTGTTCCCTCTGTCTGGAAGCTGCTCCCCCCACACTCCATGATGTGACCATTTTTCTGACTTCGGTGGGGCTTTGTACCCGGGTTCCTTTCTCCGTGAGACCCCCTCCGACTGTCCTGTGTGCTGTGGCAGTTCTCGCCTCTGCCGACTGCCTGGCGCCCCACTCGCCTACCGTGCTCCTTTGGTCTGTAGTGCTTTCCCCTTGCTGACACACTGTAGTCATGGTGGCCGTTTTGTAAGGTTCAGTTGCCCGTGAAGATCCGCAGGACTCTACGTGACCGTGCTGGGGAGGCTGTGGAGCACTCGGTGACAGGGAGGCGGGTGGGGGGAGCCTCTTACGGTTTGTGGTCATGTACCCTTGTTGTGAGTGTATTACCTCCCCCAACAGCGGAGCCCTCCCGCTGGTGATAAGCAGTGGACAGGCCTTGAGAATACAAATGCCCCCAGATGCTTTGGACTCTCGGTTACAAAGCAACATTGTTCATCAGTACATTGCATGCTGTGCGTGTACTTCGGGGAAAACAGTTGAGGCGAGTTCCAGGTCTGCTGGAATTAACCCTCCCGACACACATACAATTTATTTTACTTACTAATTATGTTTATTTTCACACATATAATTTATTTTACTTATTAATTGTGGTTTATTTTCTGTCATTCATTAATAAAGCATAAGCTCCTGATAGCAAGAATCTTTTTCTGTTTCAAGACCAGTGCCTGACACAACATTTTTGTTAAATAATGAATGAGAGCAGGATGCTCGGTCAAGAACACAAGTGTAAGTGTGAGAAAATTCACCCAAGACTTTTTGGTTACAAGCCTTGGGCTTCATCCTGTGCGTCACACCTTCTGCGTGTGTTTAGAGCTTTTGGGTTTCACTGGCTGAATAGAATTACTGTGATTTAAAGACAATAGGGCAAGATTAAATAATGGTTCTTTTTTCTGGTAGTTAAAAAATTGCTTTTGTATTTTGTTACTATGTCATAATTTTGGTGGGGGGAGGGGGAGAGATAACAGAGTAACCAAAATAAAGAAAAGACTAATTTCCTTTAAGAACTTTCATGGAAACTAAGAATGCTGGGAGCATGTCAGGAGAAAATGCCTGAGAAAACAGAGCTACTTAGAGCACAGCCTTGTATTTATTCTTAAAATTCTGATATTTTTACAGATGCACAGAAAGAAATGACTGTTGCTATTTCACAGGCAGTGCAAGAAGTACCTCTTTAAGATGGTTTTATTTGCAGTGTTATAAAAGATACCAAATGCACATGAAAGGGTTGCAATAAAGTGTTCATTTTTATGTCCTTTTTGCACAGCGTAAGTGTATGCAGCCCAAAGATTTTATTCCTAAAACGCCAGAACATGATAAAAGACTTCAGAAGAAATTTCAGAAAATGGCTACAGAGCTCCAGAGGCAAAAAACAACTCTGGGTGAGTCCAGACAGACAGCGTGGTCCTGGGCACTTGTTCTGGTGGACGTCTGGTTTCATTTGTCTGATGACCAGTGGCATCCAGGGTGGACACTGGTAAGGGGGGACTCCGTAGGTCCAGCCTGCGGAAGCTTGACCGTGGCTGCTTGTGGGGCCGTGGATTTGAGCTAATCAGCCACGCAGTCTTGGGGTTGCTCACCAAATTGATAGAACTTTTTATTTTCAGGAATCATTATGGAAGAACAGATTTTGACTAAGAAGCCCTATTCTAATAAGTTCCTGTTTATTTCTTTGTTATTTTATATCTAACTTTGTAGTTTTACCTCATACTTGGTGTTTTTGTTTTGTTACTCAAAATAGGCAAATGTTAGATGATACATTCTTTTTTTCTTTTAATTTTTTTTAATGTTTATTTTTTGAGAGAGAGACAGACAGAGTGAGAGTGAGGGGAGGGCAGAGAGAGACACACAGAATCTAAAGCAGGCTCCAGGCTCTGAGCTGTCAGCCCAGAGCCTGATGCGGGGCTCCAACCCATGGACCCGTGAGATTATGACCTCAGCTGAAGTCGCATGCTTAACCTACTGAGCCACCCAGGTGCCTCAATTCTTTTTTTTTTTTTTTTTAATTTCACCTTAAATATATATAATTTTTATTTGTCAATTATTCCTCAGTAAAGCTGGAAAAAAAAGAAGAAACATATTTCTGTTGTCTTTGAGTTTTCATGATACCTATTTGCAAATTAGCCCACAGTTATATTTTTGTTTTTTTAAAGTTATTTCCTTTTAACTCTGCATTTTGTTTGCTTTTTTGCCTTCAACAGTTTGAATTTTATGTTCATGGGCCAGTTTTCTTTTTAAATATCCTACTTGGAGTTCACAGGGGGTGCTTGAATTGTTTTTTCCCCTCTGTGTATCCGTTTCTATATTGTCTATTGACCTTTTCTTTACAGTTCACTAATACGTTCTGCTTCGTGTAATCTGCTATAAAACTCATCTTTTGAGTTCATAATTTTGGTTATTTTATTTTGCAGTTCTAGGGTTTCCCTTTTTGTAATAGATTCTGCTATTCTGATTAAATCACTCACGTTTTTTCTTCTTATCTGCAAGATCTTGAATGCCTCTGCTCTGTTGTTTTGTATGTTTTTTTCCTCCTGCCTTTTGTCATCTCGCCCTGTCTCAGTAGGAATGATGGCTTTTGTAATTGAAGGCAAGTCATTAGTTATAAAGTATGTTTGAAACTCTAGGCAATATCACTTTCTTATCTACCGAGTTTCCAGTAGGCTTTATCTGGACTGATTTGAATAGGAACTTCTCGGATTTTGGTAAGGCTTGGTAGACTTCTGATATGACAGTGATACCAGGCTGTGGCCATCTAGACCTTTCCACTGAGAGCCTGCAGTCGTAACTAGGACCCCTTCCCCTGGCTGGCTCTCAGCTTCCAGAGAAAATAAACCACAGAGAACTTTACATCACACACTGCTTCGCTTTTGGGATCCTGCCTCTTGTAGCTTCAGAGTTTGGCAACTCTCTTGAGGGTGAAATCACATGCATGCAAGGACTGGATTTCTACTCTGCCCTGTTCATTGGGGAAGCTTTCGGTTTTCTCTTGAGTTTGTTGATACTGACAAACTGTTGGCTCTGTCTTCTCTTTGCTTGTACTTTTATTTCTCGGCAACTGCTCTCTTTGTGCTCAAAGACCAGACCTTCAGCCTCTTGCCCCAGGCCCTTTAATGATAAATCCTCCTGGGGGTGAAGGCATCCTCTGCTTAGTAGCTGGCCTCTGAGCATTCCCCCTCTCCAGAATCTTGACTCATCGGGTCCTGCTCTCTTCAGTGGTTCCCTGATGCTTTTATGTAGACATCATTTGTAGTTTATATAGCTTTTGTATTTCTTTTTTCTCTGTGTAGGCATTACTTGCCTTCAAGATACTCTATTCCTGTCTTGAATTACTTGTAAAACATTACAGCACTGGAACAGTGGCACAATCACTTTTGTTTATGGTTGCACCTTGCACAAGGGTTTTAATATTCTGTATTCACTGTAGAAGATCAGTTACCTCCATTTTTCATTTCTGGTAGCAACAGGCTGCTTCTGTGGAATCAAAAAAATGGAGACATTTTTGTCCTTAATGTATTTAGTCATAGAATCATTTCTGGGGTTTTTTTGAAGTCTGATTGGTATAACATACTGGTTTGTGATGTACAGTATAGTGATCCGATGTGTATATTGTAAAATGATCACAAGTCCACTTAACATCTATCACCATACATAGTTATAAAACATTTTTTTCCTCAGGATAGAACTTTCAAGACCCAGTTTCCCAGCTACTTTCAGTACGGTATTAACTGTAGTCCCCCTGATGTGCATCACACCCCCATGCCTTGCTCGTTTTACAACTGGGAATTTGTGCTTTTCGACCCCTTTCGCCCATTTTGCTCACTCCCCGACTCCGGGCCTCAGACAGCCACCAGTCTGTTTTCTGTATCCATGAGGTTGGTTTTTCTGTTTTTGTTTTCTGATTTTGTTTATAGATTACACATATAAGAGATAACATATAGTATTATCTTTTTCATTAAATGACTTATTTCACTAGCATAATGCCCTCAGGGCCTATCCATGTTATCATCAATGGCAAGGTTTTGTTCTTTTTTTATGGTCAAATAATAGTCCTGTGTGTGTGTATACACATACCCACGTTTCCCTTAATCCATAGATGGACATTTAGGTTGTTTCCTTGTTTGGCCTTTGTAATTAATGCTGCAGTGAAATGGGCGTGCAGATATATTTTCACATTAGTGTTTTTGTTTCCTTCAGGTAGATTTCCAAAAGTGGAATCCTGGATCATATGGAAGTTCTGTTTTTAGTTTTTTGAGAAACCTCCATAGAGTTTTCCACAACGTCTGCACCAATTTACATTTCTGTCACGAGTGTACAGGAGTTCCTTTTCTGCACGTCCTTGCCAACACTTGTTATTTCTTATCTGTTTAATGATAGCTGTTCTAATATGTGGTTGGAATCTCACTGTGATTTTGATTTGCATTTCCTTGGTGTTGAATGATGTTGAGTCTCTTTTATGTGCCTGTTGGCCATTTATATAACTTCTTTGGAAAAATGTCTTGTTTAGATCCTCTGCCCATTTTTAAAATTGAAGTTTTTTTTTTTGTTGTTGTTAGATGTATTTTTTTTTTAAGTTCATTTATTTATTTTGAGAGAGAGAGAGAGAGAGAGAGAGAGAGGAGGGAGGGCAGAGAGAGAGAATCCCAAGCAGGCTCCAGGCTGTCAATGCTCAACATAGGGCTCGAACTCAGGAACCATGAGATCCTGACCTGAGCTGAAATCAAGAAGAGTTGGACACTTAACTAACTGGGCTACCCAGGCACCCCTACATGTGTTCTTTTAATGATTTAGAGAAATACTTTAGGACCTCATGAAACTCTAAAGTACTATATGTGTTTTTTGTATTTCTCTTTTTTGCCTTTTTCACCACCTAAATTTAGGGTTTCTGGCCAGTCCCAACATGCCATTGATGCATGTAAGCAATTTCGGTAACTATATAGTGTATAGCATAGAAAAAGGAAACATTCATTTCTCTAGTTTTTTGTTTTAGTGTATGTTGCCATGTCACAAATTCTCTGTGTTCTGAAATTTTTTATGTAGAATTATCAAGCGTTGCTTTGAATCTGTCATAGTAACACAGCAGAATTGACGAACATTTGGCCTGCATGGTGCTGCCAGATAATTGTCCACACACCGTGCCTGTATCGTTCATTCTCGTGCTGAGTCATCCCGTGTCCGAGAGTCAAGTCTTTCTCTTGTGCTGTACTGGTCCCTCCTTTACAGCCTCACTCTGACCGTCCGGTCTGCTGTGCTGCTCCAGCCAGAAACACGCGGTAGTTCTTGATGTCACTTTCTGCCTGATGCCCCTTCTTTGCGAGGATCCTGACTCCTGCTTCCGAGTGATTGCTTGATTCCCTCTAAGCCTGCATCAACCCCATATGAGCCCTTCATGCGGCTCCTTGACTGGGCCCCGTGAGGCACTGTGTCCTTACCATCTGTCACCTGACTAGGGTCAGAAGGGTGTAAACCAGAAGTCAGGGGGACACCCCACCTAGGGCTTCAGCGTCAACAGTGTCATGGTCAGGAAGCGTCTTTCGGATGAAACCCTGTGTTTAACATGTCCTGCGGCACAGCACGGCCTCTGATCCGGTCTCCTCTCCAGCCTCACGGCAGTACCAGACCTCTCTGCCTCCTTCATCCTCTTGCCATTTGGGCTTCTTCCTACACCAGTGATGCTGGATTTGAAAAGAGTTGGGCAAAGTACTGATAGATAAAAAATCAAATTTAGATCTTAATAAAAATCAAAATACTGCAAATAAAAGGTGTTAAAGATACAACTGACATATGTCTGCATATTGTCAAAATTGTAGTTAGAGTTGTTCAGGCTTAAGAGTCACAAAGGAGAAGATACCGAATGATTTTTGGTGGGTCTTTTTGTTTGGTGGATGAGGGGAGGTGGTCAGAGCCCTAAAGTTCTCTTTGAGCAAGGTACGGATTCCAGAAAAAGGCACACCTGTGCACTGACACACCATTTAGCCCTCATTTCATGGCTGGAGGACTCCTGACCTCAGAGTTCGTGTGTTTGTGTGTGCATGTGTGTGTGTGCGCACGTGTGTTGGAGGTCAGGGAGGCTTGGTGAGTGGTGGTGGTTTCTATAACCCAGGCTGAAAACTACTGGAAGAGAGAACTTTCCCCGCACACATCTTCGGTTCTCAGCTGGGGATCTGTTACCGAAGACAGACTAACAGGAGAAAAGTGTACATGCTTGTACGTTTTCTGTGACATGGGGGCTCTCAAAGGAATTGAAGGCCCAACGCAGTGGTAGAACTTTCGTGCTGACGTTGAACAGAGAGGGGCAGCCGTGGAAGAGTGACATATAAGAAGGACCAAAAGAGAACACGGGTTATTTTAACAAGGTCTGTTTTACAGGATTCTCTTGGCCTCAGCTCCCCATCCCTGGTGATAATGTGCAGGGGGTACACCTCTCAAAGGGGAGTTTTATCTCCTGTCTTGAGGAAGAAGCTGGGCTGGGGGGTGTCAGAGTGCCTTTCTTTTCACCTGCTGTTATGTGACTACACTTTGCCCATGGTAACCCCTTTGCCAAAGCGGCACGTTTGGGGTGACGTACCCCGCCTCTCCTCACCAACAGTTCAGAGCCAGATTGCGTTCTGGCTTTCCCTTCTCACTAGGTGTGTGAGCCTGGGCACATACAAATAAATTAACTTTGTTTCTTGGTTTCTTCATCTTTAAATTCTGATACCTGCTGCACGGTTTGGGGAGAGGTTGAATGAAATGGTGCACGGATAGTGCTTAGTGCACAGTCCCTGGCAGGTGGGCGTTTCTCAGCAGATGTCAGCAGTTTTAGTGCCAAGGTTGATGATTGTGGAGGTGGTAGGCTGATGACAGAGCATTGGCCGTAGTAGGTGATGATGGTGAAGGGGAGGAGGAGGACCGTGGGGATGGGTCGTGGGGTGTTCCCTTGCAACGAATCAGATGGTTGCAGTAAGAAGGCTTTTTTTTTTTTTTTTAAAGCTTAAAATTGGATTTTTGTTTATTTTCAGATAATGATGTCCCTGTTCTCTTATTTGAATCTAATGGCTCATTGGTGTACAGTCCCACAATTAAAATGTGCAGCGGCCAGCACAACACCATGCAGAAGAGGTTACAGCAGATGAAGGAGAAAAGGGAGAACCTGTCACCTACCTGTAAGTGTGTACACTTTATAAAGGGAGCAGAGCACTTGCTGAGTGAACTGTGGGGGGAAGGTTTTTTCCTTCTTCCCTAGATACTTCACATGTTTCCTGATTCTAATAGATTTTTACCTCTTTCAGGGTGGACTGTGTTAATATTTTCCTCCAGAAAATCTTAGGCTTCATTAAGATTTTTAAAGCATATATTTTAAGCATATATTGGGTGTGTACTTTTTGGATGTATAGGTTGAGAATCTATTTTTTGTAGCCCCTTTGTGATTTTTAATATCTTTGGGATTTTTTTTTTTTTTTAAATAATAAACCAGGCTCTTCTTTTGAGAGAATTTGCTTTAGACTAATTATCTCCTGCATGAGTTTATGTTTTTCTTTATTTGGGCTATCTTTAAAGTTTCCGGTTAAATAACGTGTGAGCACATATTCATAAAACATTTACCAGCATGTGGCTCATAGTGAACACCCATCTGGATTCCCATCAAATTCTCCTCCGCCCACGGGTAACCCACATTTTAAGTTGGCGTGTTTTTCCACATTGTTTCTGGTGTGGCATACGCCTATGTGCACAGGCTTCTGTATCTTTCTGTGTGCTGTGGACCTGTAGTCTTTCTTCACCTAAATTGAATCTGGCATACCTATTATTTTAAGCCTTTTTTTTTTTTTTTTTTTTTAACCTTACAAGTGGCTTGGAGGTTTTTTCCAAATCAATAGGTGTGGACCCTCCTTCTCCCTTTCTTTTCTTTTCTCTTTTTGAGATGTTGTGGAGTAGTTTAGAGTTTGGATACTGAATCGTCTGTTAGTGGAGGTTTTCCCAATTTTTCTTCATTAGAAATAGTACTGCAAGTCTTTATTCTTCTTAAATTGCATGGTATGGTTCTTGTGTTTTGTTTAACCATTTTCCTATTTGTGGTCATAAGGCTTTCCATTTCCTGTTCACTGTTACAATCCGTATGCCAGTAGACCTGCTTCTCAGTAAATCTGTGTAGTCCTGTGTATTTCAATAGTATTAATTCACAAAGATGGAATTTAAAATTTTTGCCTTTCAACATGGCATTTTACCGTCGCCCGCTGTTTATGAACCAGTTTCTCCAGGTTTGGGAAAATGGTGTGATTCCGTATCTTTTTCAGTTTGGGATAGAAAAACCGCATTTCTTTGTTTAATTAGCTTTCGAGGTCACTTTTATGAGAGGAACGTATTTTTATGTTATTGATTCTATCAGTAATTACAACTTTTGCATTATCTTTGTGAATTATATGTTTTTGTCCAGTTGCCTGTTTTTCTGATTTGCAAGGGTCTTTTTTATATCATGCACAATAATCGTCATATGTTGCAACATTTTCTCGTGGCTAGCGTGGAGCCCAGTGTGCATTCGTAGTAGGCACTCAGTAAATATATTGTTGATTGAAATACTCAAAATCTTTTGTTTTCTCATTTAACATGCAGCAACTTTTATGAAGCAGAAACATTACATTTAATGTAGACAAATCTGTTCGTTTTTTCCTTAGGGCATCCAGGATTCCCCTGACGCTCAGAACTCCCCCACCACAAGGTTTTAAAATTGTTGTGTGTCTTTTCCTGTTACCTTTATGGTTTATTTCAGCCTATCTTGAATTTATATTTGTATGTGAATGTGCAGTGGGCACCTGTATCGGTTAAGGTTAGCTTTGGCCGCGTGTAACAAACAAAACCAGTGGCTCAGATTAGATACAGGTGCGTGTTTCCGCCACGTCAAAGGAGTCCTAAGCACAAGTCATAGGGTGGCTATTCCGTGGTTTTCAAGAGTCTTGTGTCTCATTTTTCTGCTTAGTCTTCTTTGGTGCCTGGCTTCCGCTTTAAAATGTCTGTGCCTCCCAGCTGAGCTAGCTTCCTGTGGGCAACCTGGTATACCAGAAGTTCGATCCAATAGGACTCAGTCTTACAGCTCTTCTTGGTTGTAAGCATTTATGGCTAGAGAACTGTAGAGGCAAAAAACGACTCCAGATAATCCAAGAAGTAAAGCACAGTCCTTTGTATTGTGTTCATCCACGTAGTTTGATTTGCCTGATGACCAGTGTCACCCAGGATGACAGCCAAGGGGGACTGTAGTAGATTTAGCCTGAGAAGGAGACTACAAACAAGGCTGAAAACGGTCTTTTACGAGAGCGTGGCTACACTGATAGAATGAGGTTTCTGTGAAGAGGAGGGGGGCGTGGATGTGGAGCTAGGGAGCGAGCAATTCCGCTCACTGTCTCATCACGTGTATACTTGATATGCCTCAAGCGTTGTGCCGTTACTTTGCGGTGTGAATTCTGCCACTTGACTGCATCCAGCACAGCTCAGAATTCAACATCTGAAACACTTCTCTGTGTGCTCACCTCTCTTATCTTGGTTTTTAAATTGTCTGCTTATGTTTCCTCAAGAAAGCATGCTGTGAGTCTCTTTAACAAACATCTTTGGGTATGAGACCAAAACATCTTTCTTGTTTCTGGTTTGTCGTCTGCACAGCCTTTGAAGATGATATTTGTGACCTTACTTGTTGAGTGATTGATGTCCTGGATTTTTTCTGTGAAATCTCTGAGGTTTCTCAACCTTGACACTATCGACATTTTGGGCTGATCAATTCTTTGTTGAGGGCACGTGAGGGGTGGTGGGGAGGTGCTGTCCTGTGACTGGCAGGGTGTCTCGCAGCATCCCTGGCCTCTGCCCACTCACTGCACACCAGCAGTATTCAGGTCACACCCACGTGACATCCAGTGATGTCTGCAGACGTGACCGTCACCCGCTGGGAGCCAAGATGCCCAGGGCTTAGAACCGCTGCTCTAGTTACAGGGCTAACGGTTGCTTCTAAAAGAAGGAGCCTTGACTATCAGACAACAAGATGAATTGAGAATATTTCTTTACCTCTGTTGGGCTTCTGCTTAGGCCCAGGCAAACTGACTTTTCAAAATCTCTTCTAACTCTAATTATCCTAAATTTAATCCTTTTTATAACATGATTTATGTAGGGGCTCCTGGGTGACTCAGTCAGTTTAGCATCCGACTTCAGCTCAGGTCATGATCTCACGGTCCGTGAGTTCAAGCCCCACATCAGGCTCTGTGCCGACAGCCCGGAGCCTGGAGCCTGCTTTGGATTCTGTGTCTCCCTCTCTCTCTGCCCCTCCCCTGCTCATGCTCTGTCTCTCTCTGTCTCAAAGATGAAAAAAATAAAAATAAAAAATAAAATTAAAAAAACATGACTTGTGTAGATTAGTTTTTACGAATCTCACCATCTGCAGTAGATTTGAGTAAGAGTTTTTTGTGCTTACCGTTTTGTAGTAAGTCGGGAGTGTGAACTAACAGACATAAATCGATGTTGGTGTGGTGTGGGAGAACAGAACGAGTGGGTTTGCCGTGGGCTCCCACGAGTCAGAGGTGCATCTGATGAAGGGTTCGGTTATGTTTTCAGCTTCCCAGCTGCTTGAGAAGTCTCACGATGACCCGTTTAAGTCCCCGTGTGAAGCTTGGAACATTTCACGTGATACTTTGTGTTCAGGTAAGGTTATTTTCTTTTCTGTGATATATTTAAACTTTGAGAATATTGTGATTTTCGTATTTGGAGTTTCTTCTGATGTGAAGAACAGCTAAAAACTAGAATTCATGAATTTCACTGGAATTAGGTAATAAAAAATAGGTATTGTAATGCAATTAGCGTATAAGAAATTTCATCAGTTAAATCACCTGGGATTCCTACGGTTTTTCTCCCAGGCATTTGCTCTCTTGGCACAGAAACTATTGCTCATTGTTTAAAAAAAAAATCCGTGCTATAAGTAGTAATTCGCATGCATTGTAGACTGTGTTACTGACAACACAGGGCTGCTTGTTTCACACCGTATATCGTGACTACAAGGAGCATATGACTGAGTGTCCGTGAGGTGTGGAAAGATCATTGAGAAATTTAGAAGATAGACGGATTTCTGTTTGGAAGCAGAGTATTGGAGGGGCTCCTGGGGGGCTCAGTCGGTCAAGTGTCCGACTTCGGCTCAGGTCATGATCTCACGGTTCGTGAGTTCGAGCCCCGCTTCGGGCCTTGTGTTGGAGCCTGTAACCTGCTTCAGATTCTGTGTCTCCCTGTCTCTCTGCCCCTCCCCTGCTTATGCTCTGTCTCTGTCTCTCAAAAATACATAAACAATAAAAAGACATTTTAGCCAAGTATTAGAATAAAATTAGAATTATATATTATACATACACCTTTTAAATGTGGAAGCCTGTGTTATGCTTTGAATGATCATTTTTCATGCTTATAGCTTTCCTTTGAGTAAATTTTAAGAAATGTGATATAACCACCTAGTTTCAGCTGACAGTAGGGCCCAAATAAGAATCACTGACCCCCGCAAAGAGCTAGCTGTTCAAAGTGCTTGAAATGTTACAGAATATCCTATGAAAGTCACAGCAGGGATAGATGACAGAACAGTGTGGAGGTATTAGGAGTTTAAACTACAGCTCCCTTTCATGTGTGGCTTATTTTTTTTTTTAAGTTTATTTATTTATTTTGAGAGAGAGCTCAGGAGGGTCAGACAGAGGGGAAGAGAGAATCCCAGGCAGACTGTGTGCCATCAGCATGGAGGTGGAAGCGGGGCTCGAACTCCCGAACTGTGAGATCCTGACCTGAGCCGAAATCAAGAGTCGGATGCTTAACCAACTGAGCCACCCAGGTGTCCCATGTGTGGCTTATTTTTATAATCTGTTTGGTGTGTGTTGGAATTACTTACCCATTTATCTTAAATAATCTTTTTATTTCACACTTGATGGATTTATTTTACGTAAGTTGGACACAAGTAATAGTATGTAACACAGATTTCATTTTTCCTGTGTCACAGGTGCTGTTCTGGGTATCTTACATACTGTGTTTCATTTAACTCCCCCACTAGCCCTACTAAATGGTTACCCTTGTCACCCCCATTTTGTTCACAAGAAAACTAGGCCAGCGAGGTCAAGCAGCTCGTAAAAGTTCATAGAGTTTGTGATTGGCCAGTCCAGGACCTGAACCTAGGCAGTGTGACCTCAGAATTTATGCCCAATGACATGTCTCACTGCTTGTCAGCTTTTTGAAAAGTGTGCTAAGCGTCTTCAGCTGCTGGTATTAAAAGTGTCCTCTGTTTCTTGCTCCTGACTTAGGGACACACAGGCTCCTTGACTCGGTGTGGGTACAGCGCCTCCCTGCCCTGTGGGCTTCGCTGCTCCCTGTGGACCACCTCTGTGGGGCTCGAGGCCTCAGATGCCAGAAAATAGTGTCTGTGCACTGGGAACTTCCAGTTTAGTGAGAGGGACAGATAGGAATAATAAGAACACTAGGACACCTGCTTTTGGGAAATTCAGGCAGCATTCTGCATACTGGAGGAGGATGTGTGCAACCAGACCTGGTGCAGCAGGAGGGTTCAGAGATAGGCACGTTCGAGGGGTGGGGGGAGGGTTTGAAGTACGGATAGGAATTACTCAGATTAAAGTGTGGGGTGAAGGCAGGGCCTGGAGGGACACACACGCTTGCAGTTTTCGGGAGACAGGAGGCGGTCAACTTAGCACTACTCTCAAGAAATGTACAAGACACAAGGGAAGACAGCACCCTACCATCTACCTGGTGGTTCACTGTTGGATATAAATACAACATGAGGCTTTGAGTGGAGGACTGGGGGTCGGTGGGCTGTGTTCACGAAAGGCTAGAACTTGACCTAGACCGTGGTGTTAGTCCTAACCTTTTAGAATGATTGACCTTCTTGAGAATTGAACAAGGTGCCAATGCTCTTTCTGAAAACACGTGCACATGCATGTGAATGTACAGAAGGTGAGCGTGATGGTGGTGGAGGTCTGTCCCTGCCTCCCGCCCCCCCGTGCCGTCCATGTGCACGCTGACGCCTGGGTTCGTTAGTGAAAAATGCTGGTCCTAAAGGGGTCCTCAGGTGGATGTGGTTGATACTGTCTTTAACCAGTAGCTATGTTTAAGAAGTATCGGTTAACTGAAAATTACTTCTGTAATAATTGAAAGCATCTTAAAAGTTAATTCTTTACTGATGTTTTCCAGATGAATCCTTTGCTGGTGCTCTGGACTCATCTTTTGACAATCTTTCTGGAAACTCAGGGTGTGGAAGTCAGGAGAGGAGAGTGGGAGAAGTCGTTGACGAAAGTAGAAGTGGTGTGTGTGTTTCTTCACCTGCACTGAAGACCAGTAGTGTTCATTCATCGGCACCTGCTGGTCCTTCAGCTTCACTAAAGACCGGTGGTGTTCATTCGTCAGCACCTGCTGATCCTTCACCTGCACTGAAGACCGGTAGTGTTCATTCGTCGGCACCTGCTGGTCACCTCAGCCAGTTAACTCCTCAGAATCCCTCGGGCCGTCTTTCAGAACAAGAAGTAAGTCGGCAGAGGGATCCTGCGGGTGAAGCGGTCACCCCCGACACGTGGTCCGGGGGAGCACCCAGGGAGGTGTTTGGCATGAAACACGGTCTGCCCCCTACGTTATCTGCGACAGAACACCACCCTTGGGGACATTCACGATCTGAGAGCTCCTCGGCGAAGAGAAGAAGAAAGTCTGAGATCTCAGATTCGTCCCCGACAGGAAGACTAAAGAAGAGATGCCGCGGGAAACCCGGCATGTCACAGGAGTGGCTCCTCGCGTCAGGGGACCGCCTGCACTTCGGGCCCGGGGCTGCCGCCCAGGCTCCTGGCTGCGGCGTGTCCTCGTACGACGATTACTTTTCACCGGACAACCTCAAGGAGAGGAGCTCGGACGGTCTTCTCCCCGGGTGTCAGTCGTCAGCGGGCCCTGCTCTCTTCATCTGCAGAGGCCTCTCTCGGGGGGAGAGAAGGAACATACTGCAGACGTCTGACTTCTCCTGCATTGGCAAGAATCCCAGCCCAGCCCCCACGAGCGATTTAACGGCACAAAGTCGCCGCAGTCTTGAGAAACCCACACGTGACAAAGCGAACGCAGCGTGGGCTTGCCTGGCCGCTGAGGAAACCGCAGGGAGTCGTCCGCAGGCTGGTGCTCAGAGAGGGGAGGGTACGCGCCCAGATGGCGCAGACTCTCCGGTCCACGACGCACTGCCTGCTGCGGACGGGCTCGGCGGGAAAGGACCTGACGGGGACTCACGTCCCCTGGAAGGGGGCAGCGCGGAAGCCAGAGAGCTGATGGGCGCGGGGAACGTGCAGAAAGCAGACCGCCCTCGGACGAAGCGGGAGTCCTGCGGTGGAACGCAGCCTGACGACCGGCTGGGTTTTGCAGGCGACTGCACCGCGGACACCTCCGCCCAACAGAGGGAAGATGTGTCCAGAGGATGCAGTGAAAGTACGTGAATCTCCTTTTCCAGGTGTCTTGGTTATGGGAATATGGGATGGTGTGTCCGTCTTGTGAAGTCACCACAGCCTTTTCGTAATTAAAGTGTTTGCTTTTTTCCTTTTTTTATTTTTAAAGAACGGGTGTTTGATGTTTTCCAATGATAGATTCTTTAGGAGAAGGTGGCTCACCGCCCCGTGGTATTTCTAGGCTCATTGGTCCAATCTGCTGTTAGGAATACGTTTCTCCAAGCCTTTCCGTGTGGGTGACAAGTGAGTGAAGCCTGACGTGGGAAGTCAACCAGAGCAGGTGCTCCCCTGTTTGCATGCAGCCTCCTCCTGGAACATGGCTGGTGTGCAGACAGGCGTTCTGACGGAGGGTTTGAACATCTCTCTGCTCACAGGAGTGAGGCTCTTGATGCCAGGAGGATAGTAAGGCAGTGTGAGCATTGCTTCCACCAGGAAAAGAGAAGGTACGAGAAAGGAACTGTGGAAATATGTTAGCAGTATTTATTTTGAAGAAACTTGGGGCAGTGTTAGTTATAAAGAAAAATGTTTTTAATGTTTTTGCTCAGGGTAAGTTTATCGTAACAGGCCTCGTTGGCTTCTATTTACTTTGCTTTAAGTTGTGATTTAAATAGACTTTTATTTCTGTGTGTAATTTAACTGTAGCCATCGTAATAAACTGTGTAATTGTAGCAAAAGTAGCAACAATAGAAGACATTTTATTTTACACTTTGATTACAAGCACAGATAAATTTCAGCAATCAAAAGTGATGAAATCTTGAACTTTAACCATGTTTACCGAAAGATGAAGCTGAAATTTCCATAAGACTAACTTTATCCTTGATTATTTGTTTGCTTACCCTCTGATTTTAACTAACCTTCTCAAGATGCAGAAGTTATAGGGGTTGAAATAATCACTGCTGTAGATCTTTTCCTTGGGTATAAAGTCCCCAGAATAGCCTCACAGAGGATTAATTTTGTATATTTTTAATATTTTAGCTTTCTGAAAATATACAACATTTGACAAACTATATCTTGTGTTAGCCTCAGTATGTGTTTTCAAAATATTTATTTTAAAATCATGTTGACTCTAAGGTTAATATAAAACAGTAGATATATAGAATTATTTTGGTAGTTAAGAGTATCCTGTTCTGAAAGCTTACATTCTCATTTTCTTCGGTTTTTATCTTGTTTATTTTTAAAGCCTTTGAATAATGTTTAATGATGTGAAAATATAAATTCGGGGGACGAAAGGCTGGTTGCAGACATGAGGCGCACCCCGCAGCCCCGACGTCGTTCAGAAAGAGCGCGGTTGTCCCTGCAGGCGGGATGTTGTAGCACTCTCCCCCGCGTCCACAGTCCCCTGGGGCCTGGAGCACGTGGAAAACCCCGAGGGGCCAGCACTGGGCGCTCCAGGGGACTGCAGATGTCGGCCTCATCTGATGTGGGCTGTCACACAGCGGTGTGCAGCCAGGGCCCTGGTGTGACCGAACTTCACTCCGAGAAACAGACGTTCTATGCCCTCTAATGTAAGGGTGTCTTGTAGGGTCACTTTGTTTGATGTCATTCCACAAAGACAGGAAATCATTGCATTGAAGGGCTGGAGAGACTTCTGTATTGTCTAGCCTAAACCACATCCCTTTGTTTTGTTGTGATAAAATCAAGACCCACTGCTGGGTTTAAATTGCCTGTTACCCGCTCAGCCGGTGTCCCACCTCTGTCTGGGAACCTACCACGGGGGTGGAAGCACAGAGCCTGCAGCTTACTCTAGACCTTGCTTGTGTGCTCAGTTGCGGAGCAGGAATAATACTCTGTACATGAAGCGGTACCTCCAAGTATTCTATGTTGAAATAAAAGTCTTTTTTCAATTTCTGCTTTCAGTTCACTTGTACTCATTGCCCTTGTCGGTATGGAAGGTAGAAGGTGGCACTAAAGGTTACAAGCCCAAGTTACAGAAAGAGTCAGTAAGAAACGTGAGGAGAACAGGAACAGAGGGAGAAACTTTTAATTTTTTTTAAATAATCTCTGAAATCATATTCATCAGTACTTTTTTCGTTTTAGACTTTTATTCTCTAATTTTATGAACAATTTTGTAAACAAGTATATGCTCGCAGTAACAGAAGTTGCTTCGAGTAAATGTTGCTCTCCTACCCTCGGGTACCTCCTCCTGTGAGTTCCCATGACAGCTCTTAGCTGTGCACCTCTTGTGTCCCAGGCACTTGTCTAGTTTGCTGGAAGATGTCAGAGAAGCAAACAGTGTGTGCCCTGCATAGAGGTCATGTTCTAGTGAGGAAGACGCAGTGGATGAAGGCAAGCATGACGTCAATCAGTGAGCCTGATGATACACAGCACCACAGCAGTGCGGGCAGTTAGGTAAGGTGACCTGAGACCTCAGACCAGACATCGCAGAGCCGGTAGTCCTATGACTGTTTGAATTATGTTTCAGCCTGAGGAAACAGCAGGTACAAATGCCCTGGGGTAGAAAGTGCTTGCAGGAACTGCACCGAGGCCAGTGCAGCTGCAGCTCATTGGGCTGAAGGAAGCCTGGGAGGAAATGAGCTAGAAAGATGGCCAGGAGCCGGATCCCCAGGGCTCTAGTACCTGACAAGACTTGGAGTGGTTTTGTTTGGTTTTGAAGTGTGATTGAGAAGCCCCTGGGGTGTTTTAAACAGGGGAGTCACCAGATGGGCTTTCTCAGTTGCACGTCACCCTGGATGCTTCGTGAACCAACTGGTTGTGGAGCATCTGCTAGAAGCAGTTGCTGTCACCGGTTCACTGTAATTCCTTCGAGATTCTCTGTGTGTGTGTGTGGGGGGGGGGGGTGCCCAGTGAGGGTGTGAGGGTAGATGTTACAAAGGGATTTTATTGCAAAAATAGGATTATATCATCTCGTTGCCGTAAGGTTTGCTTTTTTAAAATGTCAGATATTTCCATATCAGTGTCAATAGAGCAATATATTTACTTCATTCTTTAGTCCATTTCAGGGGTCCGCAGATTTTTTCTGTAAGGAATCAGATAGTAACTATTTCAGGCTTTGTGGACCAGAAAGCAAAATCAAGACACGTGGCTATTTACACAAAGAGAAGAAAAGACATTTTTACAAAATTTTTATTGACAAAACTCAAATATTTTGAGTGCAGTAATGTAGGCCTAATGAGAAGAACAGAATTCTGTTTTTTGGGAGAGGAATTACTTTTCTCTTGATTGGGGTTCAGATGGAGCATTCATATCTTCAGAATGGATTGCAAACATTTATTGAGGCAGATGTACAATAAAATTTTATGTTTTCCTTTTGAACACGCCTTTTCAGACAGATAGGTACAGCCAGATACTGATATCAGCCCATAAGCAGATGGTTTTCATCAAGCATATTCATCATATATAAAGCATTTATGGAAACCTGTGAGATTTTTCACTTGATACGTGCCTTTTAGTGTGTCTTACACAGCAAATTAGTCACTTCCAACGAAGATAGGTGGAAGCTTGTCAGTTGTGCAGTCAAGTGGACGTCAAAATAAATTCCCTTTGTTCTTGCATCGGGGTCTGAAAAACCCGGAAATACGTGCAGCTCGGGTGCAGGAGTTCTGTCCACGTCGAATTTGCATGGGATGGAGATGTCACGTAACGTTTTCACTTCGGACGGAGAGTGTAGAGAGCTGCCTGACGTGACTCACCTATTGAGATGGCTTTCCAGCAGCCATGCCACCGCTAACCACGGACCTTCCGACCACCTCCCGAAATTGGTTTCAATTGCCACGTAGCTGCCTGGTCATCTTGAAGTAGCTCACAGTCAGCTCCTACTTGTTTCTCAATGGCAAAGGTGGCTCAGGGGGCTCCAGTGAGGCCACATGGCCGTTGGCAAAAGCGGAAGGAAATTCTTTTCGTAGCCACACCTTCACTCTTGTCCACTGGTTCAATGGATAACCTTCTTCTTTGCTGTGCTTGAAAGAAATCTTACCTGTCACTACAGACGCGTGCCATATCCCAGCAGTTTGGTCACGTACAGCTATCGGATTCTTTTTCATAGGTAATACAAGTGTCGGAAGCTGGTGAAAGTTGGCACTCCTCGTCTCAGACACACAGACGTTTATTGAACATTTATTGGCACGTAGGTGGAGAACTGTCCACAAAGCAAACTGTATGCTAAACTCACCGGTCTTGTCCATCAGATGAACCTTCCATATCTTGCCTGCAATGCATACGAGCTGCCTACAAAATTCTAGGGTGACATTTCTGTAACCTCGTCAGCATCAGGCCACCAGATGTACTTTGACCCTGCGGTTTGTCATACGGCCATTTAGGGGACCAAGTCTTGGATATTATCACCCCCAGGAACACAAGCTGTGGCTTTTGCTTGATTATTACACCCTATTCATGCATGGGTGGGGGGACCCCCTATAACATATTAGCCAGTCCAGTTTTCTTGAATCTATGGATTCAACCAGAGAAAGGTTTATGCTGATTGACAAACTGATGACCCCACTAAGTATAACTCATTTCTTTGATCCATTTTGCCAGTTAGCAAAAGGTCTAATAATAATTGGGCAGAAGGATTTCTAGGAGTTGTCTCTTGAGTGTGGTATTTGTTAACCTGTTAGCTGACCACTGGAGTGGGTGTTTGGATGGAGGTAAATTAGCACACATACGTCATATCGTACAGTCCCTGCTGAAGTAGATATTTTAAATTGCACTACAGCCTTCATAATACAGCACTGTTCTGTCTTAGTGTATTAATCCCAGAGATGGAAATAACAAATGGTGTCTGTGCTGACTTCAGTTGGTTCGGGGCCATTGCCTGTATAGCTCTTGGTTGGGAAGGAATTACAAGGCTTCATCCTGACTTTGAAGGAAGAAGTAGCATAGTGAATAGTAGTGTCTGCTTAGACAATGATTAATATGGTTCAATATGGGGTTTAGAGGCAGAAATGCTATGTGATTTGTAAAAGGTGCATTTTTGTGTATTTCTTCATAATTCATAATCCTAAGGTAGAGAAGTGTTTTTTTATT